GGAGGAGCACAAACACTGTTCATTAAAATCTATAATTAAGGCTCAGACAAAGGTTGGTTTGGAGGAGGTGACTGAACGTTAGCTAAACAGGTAGCTAAAGGTTAGCGACAGACAGGGTTAGACCGGGATTAGTTAAACCTGTCTCTGATGGTGGGGGGGGGGTTAGCCTAGCTCAGGTTAGCCTGTTCAGGTTAGCCTAGCTCAGGTTAGCCTGTTCAGGTTAGCCTAGCTCAGGGTCAGGGTTAGATCAGATCATCTTAGCTGAGGATGAGTCAGGATTACATGGTCCTACTATTACTCTGTAGTACTTGTTGAAGTACTCAGACTGGCCTGTACTTCACTGTACTTCGCTGTACTTCACTGTACTTCACTGTACTTCACTGTACTTCACTGTACTTCACTGTACTTCACTGTACTTCACTGTACTTCACTGTACTTCACTGTACTTCACTGTACTTCACTGTACTTCACTGTACTTCACTGTACTTCACTGTACTTCACTGTACTTCACTGTACTTCACTGTACTTCACTGTACTTCACTGTACTTCTGTCACCTCTCACTTCTCGTTGTTCAGTCGTATTTCTTCATATTTCTGTCCTGACGGTCTATGGATCAAGGATCTTTTGGACGTCTCCTGCTGAGACAAACACACCGTCCGTCCCTGACTGTCTCCGTCTCCCTGTGAAGACGCCGTAGAACCAGATCTAAATCTGTGTTGGTTTCCTCCAACCACAGAAACCTGGACGGGTCTTTGATGTGGAAGAAGATAAAAAATGACCAGGTGTTGACCAGTCGACAGAACGGGAGAAAAAAACAACAAACCATCTCACCTTTAACAACTCCTCTGGTTCTCCTGCTGCTGCGGCTCCTGCTGCTCCTGCTCCGTCGTTTTCTGAGGCTTCAAATGAAAACCAGAGTGAGTCCAGTCCCTCCCCCCCTCACCCCCCCCCCCCCTGACACCACTGCTCCTCCTCCTGCTGCTCCTGCTCCGTCGTTTTCTGAGGCTTCAAATGAAAACCAGAGTGAGTCCAGTCCCTCACCCCCTGACCCCCCTCCCCCCCCGCTCCATCACCATCTTGGTGGCGCTCCTCATCACCGTGGATTCACTCCGACTGTGAACGTGCGGCTGCAGCTCTGCTGTGTTTGAACAGTGAACACACAACACCGTGATCCCTGTCACATGACCCAGTGTGACATCACCGTCCCTCAGCAGAAGTCGTCGGGTCAGCAGAAAACACACAATGTTTCACTTTTTTTAAAAAGATTCCAAAGGTGAATATTTTTTTTTTTTCTAAACTCATTCTTAAATTCACTTTGTTCTCAGTGAAACCACGTCATTGTCCACTCATGGTTTTCAAATCAATTATTTGTCCAGCGTAAAAACAACACACATTTATTCTTCAAATGCATGAGAATGATCGGTGACAGTCGTTCAGTTCAGAGAAATAAAAACGTGACAGAAAGTTCTGGAAACAGTGATTTTATTTCCATGAAACTCACGCAGTTCAATAATCAATAATCAATAATCAGTTCCACCTCTTGATGTGGTTGGTTTTTATTTGCATCAACATGAGGTTCCGTTTCATTTTTAGATTCATGTTATGACAATATATTGTTGTAGGGACACCTACTGGTGTTTATAGGTACTGCATTATTAGGATCAGGAGTGGATTTTTCCCTTTTTTATATAAAAGTAAATATTCACAAAATGAAAGAGTCTGTACCTGAACACACACACACACACACACACACACACACACACCTCCTCTTTACATTCATATCCAACTGTGTCTGTTTCACAGTAAAACCTGGGACAGTTTTTCATGGATGGACGTTTTGTGATTTTTTTTTTTTTTTTGGTGAAATTCTCTCCCTTTAGAAATAAAAGAATAGATTTGGATTTATTTACACACATTAAAACAACAAACCTGATAAATATAAACAGACTTTTTTTATATAAATTACTTTAAACATTTGTTCACAAAATGTTTTTTCATTCATGTGTTTCTCTTTAGGTCAAATAGTTATGTATGTATAAAAAGT